TTCTAAAAACATACCAGCCCAGTCTCCTTTATGCCTATGAATTCTAACTTCTCTTATGTGCAATGTTATTGTTGATTCCAAGTTCATGGAATAATTACACAAATTAAAAGATGTAAATTGGGTAATTATATAAAATATATTCAAGAAGCATTTGATATCAATCATTTTGTTCTTCAAGTGACTTTTACTAACATGAGTTAATAGAATAAATTAAATTAAGTTAATTTGAATAAAATAGAAAAATAGGTGCTTACTTGAAGTATATATTAGTCTTAAGACAACTTTTTATTCATAAATCTGGGAATCCTTGCAAAGATATGCCTATCACCCAGAGATTTGACTGGTTTCAGGACAACATGTTTCCCTTTTTGATTTGTACTTGTGCATGCATGTTATAGAAGCTACAAAAGCTGAACACATGGAATGGTAACTTTGGGCACTGGGTTAGTGTAGAGTTATTCTTGGTGATACAGTTCTTCTATCTCTAATGCTACTATTTTTCTCATCATGCATTAATGCTTCTATTTTTTCTCATCATGCAATGTTGGATACCTTGCTATTCTTACAGGGCAAGCAGACAAATTAAAAGTTCATTTTATTATATCACCCAGATTGTTTCCCATTTATTGACTAATGGTAACTTTAGGGAATAATTCTTGTTAGGACACTAATATTTTACGTCATTATGTGTTAAAAATGCCCTCTGGGATACTGTAAGAAATTTTTTCACCCAATACTCTTCAGAAAGCTGCATTCAAAAGGGGTATACAGATAATGCTAACTTATTGAGTCCTCTGATTGGTAAGTGATAGATTATTTCTGTTTTTTAGCTCAGATAGACATTATTGTAGATTAATACATTTTAATAAAGCTCCTTATCTCATAAGTGTTTCTTCCCAGTGCACTCTAAGAAAGGTCTAAAAATGAAATATATTGCATTTTTGAAAGTTTTCTGAAATGAATGAAATTTAGAGGGAATAGAAACAAATATTTGAATTTGATAAACATATGTATAAACACTATGTTGGTGAGAGATTTTCACTATCAGTGTGCAATCATTTCTTGATGTGGTGGAATGTATCAAAGTTCCCAGATGCTTTTCCTGTTAACTGGAGAAGAGAAGTCTTCACTAAGAGTTGTGTGTAGCAGAAATATGAGCCTTATAAAAATTAACAAAAGGTTAACAAAGAGTAATAATACCAAGTCTTCAGAGGGATGCCAACCTCCCTATTTCCAAATGACACACATGAAAAGAATACTGTATATTAACTTTAGAATTATTACTCTTTGTATGATTCTTAAAATGTGCCATGATGGTATCATTTCTAGTTGATCTACAAATGAAATTTAGTTTGAAAGTGTAAAAAATGGTTTTTAAAGAATTTTCATATTAAATAAAAAATTAGCCCAGCATAGAACTGGAGAAATGGGCAGTAGGCACCAACCTTAGCAGAAGAACTGTTGGTAGCTAATTACTGTCAAGTGAGGGGGACTTGATCCTTTTTAAGGGAGATATTCTAGATAGGCTGACTAGACCATGTTGGATGAACTTGCACTGAGGATGTACTAACTTGACTAGATAGACCTTAACATATATGACAGAATGCATGAAATCTGGTCGGATGGACTATGTGCGGGGTTGGATGGGGAAGGAGGTATAAAGATGATTAAGATGTTTTATATGAAATGTAAAAAGTTCAGTAAAATACATTAAAAATTAGAATACTAAATAAAATATATATTATGTAATTACCATTTAATTAGAATGAAATAATATATGAAAGAAAATATGCTATTTAGCTGAAATAGGCAGTCCTAAAATAATAATCTTCCATTTTCACAGTGTTTGTCCCTACATAACCTAATTAGACTGGTCACAGTACCTACTCTTAACCCCTTCACAAGTCTCTTAAAGAAGTAATATTTAGAAAGAGGAATCACTGAATATTAACTTTATGACCATTTTGGAATCTGAGAATGTAAAGAATAGGGAAAGGTTCTGAACCATATGGTGACCTCTGTCCTTGGGCAAGCTGCTGTCCTTAGGCATTTCTACCCAGGAGAGTCATATCGGTGAGTTACATAATGAGGAGCTCAAGAATAGATTACCACTTGTATTTGGGGGATTTTAGGGGAGATTTAACCTACAAAAGGAACAGCCTTCACCAGTGGATAACAACGTTTTCCCCTTTCTTAAGAGACAGTAAATTCTGTGTAAAAATAATGTTAGTGTAGGAATTCTCAGAAATGTCAATATCGAGTATAGCAGAATTAAGAAAGGATGAATCCTTTGAGAGAGCCCTGAAATACAGTGATGCTTCTTACCATGGTTCTCTAATACCATGTGAAGCTAAGAAATGAGCCACTCAACACTCTCTTCCAGCCTTGGGTCCAATTTTCCCATGCATTTTTTTTCTCATCTCTTCTCCCTTTCCTCCAACACCAACACATTGTCAGTCTACTTGTGTGTTGATCACTCATAGCCATCTTGAAAGTAACTCCCCTTGTTTGAAGTAGCTGCTGAAAGACGTCATATTTTTATCATCAGACAAATGCAACCCATTTCTATGGCTGATTCTTTTGGCAACCTTGTAAAAGGTATTATTATTCCTACAGGGAAATGAACATAGGGTTATACATATAGACAAGCACAGGAAAATGGGTATCAGGAATATCTGAAAATGTGGAAATCATCCTTGTACTCTCCTAAGGGTCATGGATCTGTCTATAAAACACATCCAAATTTTGAAAGTGGTGATTTTGTAGGCATTAGTGTTCTGGTGTCTTTCATATCATGTGGTGTTGGACAAAACACAACATCCTATAATCTAGCTCAAGATACCCACCAAGTTGGGCTTTTTATTTTTTTTTATATCAGCACCAAAGTTTCTTATCTCTCATATATAACAGACACTTAAATTGATGAGCTATCATGTAAAATCAGAAAAGAACTAAAATAAACAGATAATTTAAATTGAAGAGGAAGAGAGAACGTTCAAAATTTTAAAATACTAGCTATTTACATTCTCAAGATGTTAAGTACAGTAGAAAGTGGTTTCATCAGAACATGTATATCTCTCCTGTTCCATAGGAAACTAAACAAGGTATGTATGTGAAGCACCTATCTTCAATAATATATCAAAAGATTCAAAGTAAATGTACATAGAATCAAAGATAGTTTCCTTTGCCTAAAATAATTCATTGGAAGTGCCTTTGAGATTTATTTACAGTTAGAACTCAAATATTAAAGGTGACTGGGATAGATAGAAAGGTTAAGAATTCCAGAAAAGATATTGGTTATTGACTGTTCATAGAAATAGTGATTAAATATCTTGTGTAGACTACAACTTTACCAAGGTGATTGTGTTTTTATTTTTAGTCATCTAAGTCTGTCTATGTGAATTAGTTACTAAACTTGTTCTAGTAAAAAATAGAGTAATAAGATTTTTTTTAAAGCCCCAAAACTGTTTCAAGGGAATTGTTAAAATTAAGGACAATGTGAATTGAAAAAGTCCTTCACATTTTCATGAACTCAAAGCCTATCTCATTTTCATGTACAAATATTTCAGGATGAACCACCTTTCAAATAAAGAATTATCATATATGAAATGAGAGACACTCAGTTCCTTTATACTTTAAATTCCTTACAAAATACCACAGAATCCACAGTGAATAATTTTCTCTGCTGAATTTTCAATATTGTTTTTGATTTGGAGGAAAACAAAGAACATCTCAAGTATATGGAAGAGAAGAAAACTTACTAAATCAAGGAAAAAATACATAAACAGATACTTTCATGTCTATTTTATCTATCATGCCCCATGCTTAGACTAGCTCCCAACTTTCTACATGAACTTCTGTGGGTGTGTATGAGATTGAGACGAGCACACTGGTTCATAAATTTTTTCCAAATTTCATTAAGATAAATTATACTTCAATTTATACATTTACTCGCATGTGTCTTCAAACATCACCTTGACAGTAGAAATTTTGAGAAATGGTTCAGGTTTTGAAAGTGAAGTCCATAATAATATTATTGTCCATATTACAAAATATCACTGAAAGATGAGGCATTTAAATATTGAATAATAGATATTTGCACTACAGAAATAAACAAAAGAAATAACCAGGTATTACCTATGCTTTTCTTCTTTGCTAAAATCGTATCTTCTCATTAGGATGTCTGCTCTATTCTAGTACATTGGGTTTTCAGACATGTGGATGATAAAAATATTGAGCAATCTAGTTCTATGTCAGTTCCCTGGTGACAGCTAAACAGACCACCTATTTATAAGTCATAAAATATGGCCAATTGCTAAAGAAGATTCATATCTGTTAATTTTCATATGTCAAGTGCTGAATCTCTTAAGGACACTTCAAATTCATTTGGAGGTTATGAGTGTTTCATTTTTTGTCTTTTCAAGGTGTGATACCTCAAAAACTCCTTGAAGCTAGTATATAATATTATGTGCTTATAAATAATATATTTGTATAAATATGCATAAAGTTTGTATTATATATAAACATATATGTACTGATTTATGATGTGATGGTAATATAAATCTTCATATTTATATCAAGAGACTTCAACACAACCAAGTATGCAGTGAAGTCTGAGTGGAAATTTTGCAACACATGGCCTTTAATCATAACTCAATATGAAAATTAAGTTAATAAAAATTCATCAGCATCCTTGGAATTCATAATCGATTACTTAGCAACAAATAATAAGAATCATTCTAAAACTAGTGAGGGTTAGTGTTTGAAGAATGCAATGGAAAAATAACACATTCATAACAATATTCAAAAGGCATAAAAAACAATGAAATGTTGACTAAAATTGAGAAAAAATTGGTCAATATGAAAGCATATAGTAAAGATTTGTAAAGAGAAATACTTGTTTGTATCAAATCATCCATATTTCCACGTCACTACATAATAAACCCCTTTTTTTCAGATAAATTATTTCATAATTACCACATCTCATCACTCATGAAACCATGCAGCTGAATAATAATGTGACTGTGTTCATTCTAGTTGGGTTGACAGAAGATCCGTTTAGGAAGAAGATGGTATTTGTGGTATTTTTGCTTCTATATTTGGGAACATTATTGAGTAACTTGTTAATCATTACTACTATCAAGACCAGTCAGGCCCTTGGAAGTCCAATGTACTTCTTCCTTTTCTATTTGTCCTTGTCTGACACCTGCTTGTCTACTTGTATAGCCCCAAGAATGATTGTGGATACCCTTCTGAAGGAGGCCACGATATCCTTTAGTGAGTGCATAATCCAAGTCTTTGCATCTCATGTCTTTGGCTGCCTGGAAATCTTCATCCTCATCATCATGGCTGTTGACCGCTATGTGGCCATCTGTAAGCCCCTGCACTACATGACCATCATGAGCCACCAAACCTGTGTTGTGCTAGTGTTAATGGCCTGGATTGGAGCATTTGTTCATTCTTCAACTCAGATTTGTCTGGCCTTGAGTTTGCCTTTTTGTGGTCCCAATGAGATTGATCACTATTTCTGTGACTTGCAGCCTTTGTTGAAGCTTGCTTGCTCAGACATATATGTGGTTAATCTTCTCCTGGTGTCTAATAGTGGGGCCATATGTACAGTAAGTTTCATCATCCTGATGGTCTCTTATATCATCATCCTGCGTTCCCTGAAAAACTACAGTGCAAAAGGGAGACAAAAAGCTCTCTCCACCTGTATGTCCCACATCATGGTGGTTATCTTGTTTTTTGTTCCATGCATATTTATATACACACGTCCTGCCACCACCTTCCCATTGGATAAGATGATAGCTGTGTTTTATACAATTGGGACACCTTTGCTCAACCCTCTGATTTACACGCTGAGAAATGCAGAGGTCAAAAATGCCATGAGAATGTTGTGGAAGAAGAAACTGGTTTCAGATAGGATAAGCTGACTAGAAACATCCCTTTTTCATAGCTAGATTAATCTGAAATTAATAAAAATTGTCTTTTAACTATCAAGTTTCAGGTGTAACCAAGAACAATGGCAATGACTAGTAACTCTGACAGGTTTATATGATCCCACTGGCTAACAACTGCAAAAAACTCAACCCATTCTTGGCACTGGGCTTTTTATTTGCTACCTTTTGTTGTCTATTGGGGAATTAGTCCCCCTTTATAAAATAAATCATTTTAAATTATTTTTATAAATGTACATGTTTGCTTTAGAAAATTTCTGCTTTAATTGATGTCTACATGATTTTCAGATTTCCTGCTCCATAATCCCTCCTCTACCCTTCCCTCTTCAGTCACAGAACATGGAAAAAATCAAGGTGGTACAAACCACATAACATCATTTCTTTCATAGTTTTGGAAGGTACTATGCCTGATAATGGAAGAGAAAAATTATCCTAAATATTACCCAGCTATGAACCTTGCAAGCTACAGTAATGACTGGCCTGGAAAGGTATATTCATCAGTGCAATAGTGGCATGAATGTTATGGGAGTAACCAACCACTTTCTGGTTGTATTTAAAATCTACTCTGTAAGACATAACCCATAGCTGTCATTGTTATCCCTTGGTTAGATAGGTCAAAGTCAATAAGGGAAAACAGACTATTATTATTCTCTTAGATGGATTAAACTGATTCCTAATAATTTATCATTCTATCGATAAGTTAATGCATCTTTCAATCTTCAACAAAGAAACTCCTTTTTGCATTAGATGGCAATTAACAGAGACCCACAATTGGACAGAGGACAGAGAATAAGAGATTACAGAATTCTCAGTTTTATATATATATATATAATCTCACGCCACTCCCGGAAATGCTCAGGAACGTTGAAAAAGAAGGAGCAGAAAGATTGTAAAGAGGAGCTGTGTTAGATGTCTTTAATGAAACCGTGTTTTCTGGATACACCAGGAGAGTTGCCCATATGAACTCAGAGTTGCATGTCACAGTTGTGACAGCATACATGAGACCTGTGCAAACTTGGTTCAGACGAATCCTAACATGGTGGGAGGAGATAGACACGAAGTCCCAGCCATATCCAAGAAGCTATTGACAATTAATAGCTGCTGTGAGATAAAGTCAATTTTCTTTAAGGTTGTAACCATTCTCCAGAGAACAGACCCACACTAAAGAGTATTTTGGAAACACAAACTAAACTGAATGCTCTTCAAAAGCTTGGTCACAAACTGAATAGATAGAAAGGTGGGGGTAGACCTTGGAGGAGAGGGGAAGGGGTTTAATATGATGAAGATAAGTTGTATGAAATTCTCAAATAATTAAAGAATTTTTAAAGTTTATCTTTTTATCATTGACATAATGCAATACTGTCTTAGGACATGGTGTATATTAGTTTCCTCATCAAAAGAGACAATATGTTTTATATGCATACAATGAATATCGTTGAGTCAATTTTAAATAGAGGGAGAGACCATAGAATATAGACATAAATGAAGGCGAATTGCTTTTGTTTTTGCTTGTGTTATTTTCTGGATCTCTGCCTCTCAAGCCTACCTAGTGACACTTGTGACTTCATATTTTTCTTCCATCATTTATATTGATTCCTTGAGTTCTCTGCTCATGTATATCTCCACACTTATATTTCGAACCTAGCAACTTTCTCTGTTGTATGCAGTTTTCTTTCATAGATAGTTGGGTTTCACTGTCAATTCATATGTTTTTCATGATAGTAAAAATTTCAAATAGTTATACTAGATTCCTATTATAATGGAGAGACATTTGTGTGTGATGTTTAAGCTTTACTTTGAAATATTAACGCATATTTATTTTGTACTTCATATTGAAATTCACAGAATCTCAACACAAGTCATATGTATATATCGCTAAGTTTGACACCTATAGAAATCTATGCGTTCTCTTCCCAACACAAATAATGATCATTTACATATTTTCTTTCATTTAGGAATAAGGAAATTATTGACATAATGCTCATGGAGTGTATACATCTTCCTAGCTCTCTCCTATCTAACACACCTTCTGGATGTTTTCAGTGTGGAGTCCCCATGTTTACTGCCATGCATCCCCTGGAGAAAGACTACCTAAACCTTTTCTAGGATTTTATAATAGAGATGCAAAGTATAATGAATATGCAACCTCAGCAGGTGTTATGGTTGACTGAAGTGTATGGAAAGGAAAGAAAGGAAAACCAAAAGTTTAAAAGAAATATTTGTGTGGGGAAAAGTGAAAGCCATGGACTGATAAACTGTGTAGTACTTTCTAGTTGCCATAAGTAGTTTCATCTCCCTTGAGAGAGGAAAATGGATTCCCTTAAGAAGACAATAGTGCCACCTCATTTTAATTTTTCTTGAAATTTTCAGACACGAGCAATGTCTTTGCATTATTTCCATCCCTACCCACTCTTCACTTGTCCCTCCACTCCCTCTCAGTTTCTTGTCCTCTTCTTTATTATTGTTACATATACGTACACTGAGTCCATTTAGTAGTATTGTGTGCCTGCATTTAGAGCTGACCATTGGGGATTTGATAACTTTGCAGGGAGCTGAATCCTAAAGAAAACTAACTTTCACTTTCTCAGCATCCACTGTTTGCCTGTAGCTCTTCATCCTGAGGTGGAAACCCACATAATCCCCCATCCACTTTGGTTGTCAACTGTTTTTGTCATTATGCTGATCTCATTAGATCTCCATGCTGTGGAGATCTCACTGGTGCAGCTTCCCTATCATAAATAGCATACATTAACTAGCAGCAGGAGTCTTGTACCTCTGACTCGTACATTCTTTCGTCCCCCTCTTCTGCCGTTTTCCTTGATCCTTGTGCCTTGTGAATAGAAGTCATATTCTAAGTTTGTAACTTAAGGTTGGACACATCATAGTGTTTTGTTCTCTGCATTTGACCAGCTGTGGACCATCTTTTGTGAAATAGAGCTTCTTTGATGAGTGGTGAGAGATATTTGTCTGTGAATGTAAGGATATGTATTTGGAATACACTAAGAAATTATGTCACTCTAAGGAAGTGATGAAGGGGTGTTTTTCTCTATGATTATGAAGGCAGACTGATATGATATAATACAAACCAAAGAATCATCAAATACTGACTGTAGATTCACAGATTCTGTGAGAAAGATGACATAGAATATGTTCAGAGACCTCAGGGGGAAGCTAACTAGCTGGTACATTAGTGTCATTTTAGCCCTTAAAACTGTGAGGTGATACATCCCATTGTTTAATTTATTATAGTTAACCTAGGAATCTTCCTATGAATGTTCTGAAAACATCTGAGCTCTAAATCATGTATAATCGGGCAGTTGTATAGTTTCCTATCACTACTATAAGAAATTAATGTGAACTTAGTGAATCAGAGCAATGTGTACCTATTATTTTTCAATTCTGAAGGTTGATCCCTACACAGATCTCACTAGGCTACAACCCAATATGTCTGCTAAGTTTGTGTCCTTTCCTGATCAACTTTCCAATTTCTAGAATGTGTCCACCCCCTTGGTTCTCATTTTTTCTTTCTTTTTCTCTCTCATTCTCTCTCTCTCTCTCTCTCTCTCTCTCTCTCTCTCTCTCTCTTACTCTCTTGATATTGCTCTCACTTTAATTCTCTCATTATTAAACAGAGGTAAAAATATACAAAATCAAAATTTATTACATGCCAAAGGCATTGGAGTATTTAAACTCCAGCTTGTGGTTTTGTGACTCCATTTTCAGAGCAATCATTTTGTACCTATTTGACTACATTTACAATGTCACATTTGCTCATGATTTCTTTTCCTTCTCCTTTCATTTGAAGAACCATTGTAAGTAAATTGATCCACATGATAACACATGATAATATTCTGAAAGGTCAGCTTTAGAAAACTAATTCCGTCTGTAACATTAATTGTCCATTGTTTTGTAAACTAATATTTTCATAGCTGCTAGCAAATGTCCCATGAGAAACTTTGAGACCACTATTTCACTTCTGAGGGTAGACCCACTAAATGAGATGACTGTCCTTGAGTTCCTCAGTATAGAATTGAAGAAGAGACTATGCAAGCTGCTAATTCTTGGCATCTAAGCTTCTAAGGCCAGAAACCCTGAAGGTGGAGTGTTTATTTGCACTCAAAGTTGAGTGTTTATTTGCATT